TTGTGTAATACATGCAATGTGCCCCATGACGTCATCCCCTTCTCAAAACAGCACTCACCAAACGTGAATTTTCAACGGTCGAAACCTAGACGCTCACAACCGAACCAAACAATGTCTGAATACACGACTCCCAATATTGCAGCAATACCAAGCACCATCAGCGGGAGTGCAACCACCAACATTATGGCGCAACAACTCATTCCTAGGGTGCTGTATGACTTGTCCGGGTCTCGCGCTCCGGACTCCCTGGGAACGATGCAAGACTACTTCTGGCGTTTTCGTAAAAAGCGTAGAAAGAGTCTTTATGGAATCGGATACGAAGTTTTGCAACTTTCCTGGTGCGCCTTCATCTTACGTTAGAATCGAAAGCTCGATAATGGTATCAGCTTCCAGCAGTAGCTCGCCAATCGAGACGACCTTTATGCCGATCACTCCATCGGCACGCTACGCGAAACGGAGTGCGAAAACGCTTAGAACGAAGATCGGCTCTTCTTCGTGCACGTAAACGAAGGATGCCAATCTTGCAACTCGATCGCGATGAATGGTGGCGACACATCGCTTAGTGTCCACTCAGCGAACGTGAACGAGCTTGGATAGCGAAGTATAAGCGCAGTCTGAGCGAAAGGAGGACTACAGTTATTTGTGGTTAACCTCGCTGGAAACATCACTCGCGACAGCGGAGTCGATTTCCGCTGAATAACCAGCGTGGGGCAGTGACAAGTTCGCCTGCCCGTCCTGCTGCGAGGAGTTCGTCTCGTGGTCGTGGTGAATTATATTCACCACGACGTTTTCGTTCACGTAATCGTTCTCGTTCTCGACGGTGTAGATCGCCTCACCGTTTTCGTTTAGCATGAGAACATTCGCGTTCGTGCTCGCATCGGAGTAGCCCGACTCCATGGACTTGTATGACCTAACAACATCCGGAACGTCACAAAGAAGCGAGGAACGCGGCTTCCGCGTATCTTGATTGTGTGGGAACCCAAGAAATCGTGCATGGTATCTGCGCGCGAATTGAACCACGCGATTCTCATGAGCCGACTGTAGCACAGGTTGTGGAATGTCCTCGTGACCCACAATGCGGTTTACAATCCAGCGCACCTGTCCTTCCGCATCCACAAGCGGTGGTGGGCCCTCGCAATGGTAATGCTGACGTCCTGGTTACCCAGGACTATATAGATCAGGCTGTAAACAAGGCTGCCGAATATCATCTGGAAGTAGAGGCTGATCTTGAACGTGCTGCTCAGGCGTAGAGGACCGCAAATGAGATCCGGCAGTCGGACGGTAAAATAATCGAAAGAATGAGGGTTCTGAAACGCCAGGTCTTTGGTCATGCACAGACGGGAGCGCAACCGCGCCCGATGTCATCAGCGCGTCGACCACGACGGGAAGGCCGATCGACCTACGGACCCTTAAATCCGGCATCGGAGGCAACCCGCGAAGCGTAGCCGGATGATGTTCCTTTAGCTGCCCGACGTAGAACGTCGGGTGGAGTCGCAATAAAGAGGGAACATTCAGTGTGTAAGCGTCGCCGAATGCCTTCAGAACCTTGAATGAACCGATAAAGGTTGGCGCGAGTTGTCTCGCGCCTAGGTTAGTAACCGTTAAATCCCTTATACCTTCTGTAGACAATAATACACGATCGCCTCTCTTGAACTTGCTCATGTTCTTTCTGCCTATTCATCTGCGTTCTCTTTCTGCTGGCCCACTTCAGAATGAAGTGCGTCGCGTACAAACCGGGTGATGGGCTTGACGTTGGAGTATAAACTACGACACAGACACGTCATCAATTGATCGCTTCCACTCAATCAGCGCGTCGTTGTAGAATGGGCCACATTACATTAAGATAAATAACAATACATATGTAGGCAGGTGCTGTGCCCGAATAGCGGGCACAGAGTGGCAATTTATTATTGGTTTATTAGTGGGGCCTAAAGACCCAATATGGACCAATGATAAATCAATCTGGAAATGTGTGATTTTCGAAAGGCGGGAACACTGTCGTATTTATTGCGACTTAAACATTTTCGTAATTAGTACAAGTCAGAAAAATCGAAAATTTGAGTAAATTTTACTTAATACCTAATACTTGGGCTTGATTCTTCCTCAAGCGCGCGTGAAAGATAGTAGCGGTTGTTATAGCCCCGTTACACCCGGAGCAACCACATTACATAGGGGAGGTTTGTCAGTTCTGGACTTCCGCCCTCCAGTCGTCTTCGTGGACGATAGGATCCGAGTGGGCACGAGTCGGAAGTCCTCCTGTTCCGCTGCACAGATTGCTTGGTCAAGAGATTCCAGATTGAAGTGGAATGGCTGGGTCATGAGGGAGCATTCGCAAGACTATTGGCTAACACAGTAAGCTGCGTGTGTTCATCGATTGGGTTAAGCACGATACAACTGACGAGGGATCGTACGTGTTGGGCGTAAGTGTCTATATCACGCTTACCCTGTCTCAGATTTAGGAGCTCAGCCCGAGCCTTAAATCCGGCGCGAGTTAGTTCAAACGTGTGTTTGAGCTGCGCCTTGAAGACGCCATACGTTAAAAAAAACGTATGGGTCATGCAGCTTGAGCCCTAAGGACCAAGCTTTGGCACGCCCATCCAATTTCGACCAACCATCCTAACAAAGAGTCACTTTCTATTGCTTTGTACTTGGAGACGTCAATCTTCAAGATTTGGGTCGGAGCATTTGCGCCAGTCCGGAAGCATCAGCACTTTCTTGATGTTGTCTCAGTAGTCCGAACTGTTAAGAATCCTGCTGAATCAAAAAGCCAGCTTGTTGAACGCCTTGTTCTCTGAACAGGTCAGCCTGTTGAGCACCTTGCTCCTGTAGCAAGATAAATTTTTTTATCGCTTCGTTAAGTTCATGTTAAATCAGCTTGGATATGGCTGCATGATGCTCTTCTAGCTCAGGTAGAGCGACATGGCACCGACGACATCGCCGATGGTTTCAGAAATACGCTTGACCGCCTACCATTCGAATTCATTTGAATGTCAGAAGTCATAACGCGATGTATGATGACATTCCAGGATGAGTCGTTGGTCATTAAACGGATCACGAAGTTCTATCAATTATAACGGGGCACCCTCCGATTATACGAACATATTATATCTACTTACACTGACACAGTGTAAACAGGTGCCTCGAAATCTCTCGTACACAGAGAGGCAGAGGAAGCTTTACGTATAAATGGATACGCTTAGAAGTAGGGAAAAGAGAATTGTATTTGGTATAATTAAAAACATCAATAAACTAAGTTTTTTATAACCTAACTTTAACTATATGTAGCTACTAATTATGTATGTCGACTACTTGCCCTCCACTTATTGCGCCCGTCCTTCGGTCATTTTTTTGTCAGCGTCCTAGCTGATACAATGGCCTATGTCAACCAATTAGTGGGCACCATCTCCAACTTTAAGGAGATGCAGGGACAACATTATAGGAAAAGATAATATTGTCAAATGATATTAGTTATAGTGTTAATCTGTATTGACACTTCATATAGGTAGCAATATAATTTAACGGAATCACCCCGTTACATCTCCACTCCTTAACCAGCAGTCACAATAGCGACTTTTAGGTGACTATGGAAAAGAAGCACTTGTTATTTTGCTTTTATTTTAGCAACTGCAACGCAATGACTAAGTCAATGCGCGTCGCTTCCAAGGCATCCAATCCACGGTTGCAAGCCTATGTGCAGCCGCTGTTGAGGCTTCACAGTCTCAACTAGCAGACACTTATATATCTGCTGCAAGTCAACATCAGCCTGCAACTTCTGTTGCAAGTTCACGTGGCACTTCGCCACGTGATGATGTTGACCTAGAACTAGTCGTTGACTACTTTGGTGAGTCGGATGATTCATTCGACTGAAAGCCATCTATTGCGCTCTCGATCTCGCTTCGAGGTGCTTCCTCATCTTCGGTCCCTATTAAACGGTACCGTGGTACATTGAGTGAAACAATGTACCCTAAAAGTTCGAGTCGTCTGATGAATCAGACGATTCGCTAATCGAGTCGAGTATATGTGGCTCGACTAGGACTGTTGTTAATGATGTCGGTAATTCTACTGACATCACTGCACGTGGTGTCAGTACTTCTGTTGACAACACGCAGGAGTCTCTTAATTGCAATGTATTGCATCATGCTTCTTATTGGAAATGATGAATGCTATCCAACCATCTGATAGATCGTTGGTTTAAAATAACCAGCAAAACGGCTTTCGACTCCGTTGTTCAATGCGTCAAAGCTTCACGGCCTCGATGCCAGTGCGAAAAACTTTTGCACTGAGAATGATTTCTACATCGATGCATTCCTTCAGCATCGATGTATTAGCCCACACCATTAGCATGAAGCTAATGCGTTCCTCCAAGCTTGGAATGCATATGTTCTCAACGTTCTCAACGTTAGGCGCGAGGCTTGGTTTTAAATACTTACTGCTAATCGCAATTTGTTAAAAAATGAAGTATATCTGGTGCATGTTATCGCTTACATAGGTTGTCAGGAGAGGCTGGGTTTCCATGCCTTTCTTGGGACGACTCTTGCCCGGGGTGCGTGAGCACCTCATCAAGAGCTCCTAAGGAGGCGTACCTCCTTAATGAGCCCTAGTGGGTGGGCTAGCATCTCTTCCAAATGCGCTAAGGTATAGATTATTTTATAATCCATTTACGAGCCATGATATACGCTTGTTTTGCGATGGTCCTACTTCACCATCGGATGTGCCTTGTCGTACTGCTCGACACGGCCAAGAATGTCAGTCATCAGTTGGGCGAAATCCCAGCTATTCGCCATCGGACAAGATAGCTCGTTCGACGTCCCTTCACGACACAGTGATTCAACATACGCTCCAAAAGGAAGCGCATCCCACCGTGCAAGCCCACCAGTGGATGAGTGAGTGGAGGAAAAACCTTGCTCAATTCTTTCGTCGGGCTTTTCTGCTAAGTTAGGCGGGTTTGCCCGTGTAACTCGTGGGCTACGCCGTGATATTAATCACGAGCTGTATAAGCGTTACCGCTTGATGGACATTGTGCGGCAGCTTGGGTTTGACCATGAGAAGTCTAGAGAAAAAAGCTGTCGCAGTGTTGGAAAATGAACGGCGGCTTCATTATCTGAGTAACTAGCTGGCGACAGCTCTTCAGGAGATCGTACAGTGTCATGGGACGATCTCGTCTCTAAACGACCAGATATCGAGCCTGGATCGTGACCACATGAGTCTGATTGAGACTGGTAAAAGCGACGGATATCTTCGTCGTTCGAAGAAGCCGCGCACTGAACGTACGGACGAAGACGTCCCACGTACCACGTAGGATGCATACGCATCCTGCGTGGCAGCTCAATCGTGTATGTGTTGCCTAGGCGGCGCAATACACGAAACGGGCCGATGTACTTGGGCAACAATTTATTGCTGCCCACGTTAGTCACTACATGTTTAGGTAGGTTTACTGTTGACAGTAAAACTAAATCACCTTCAATAAATGTTTGAGCATTTGCCCTTCCATTATTGTCTGCGTTTCGCTTTTGCTTATCCACCGCTTCCGCGATACAGTCTTGCACGAAACGGACTACCGCTTCACGAGTCAGAAGGAAATCCTCATCTGACTCGTTGCTTTTGGCTGCAGTGCATTGTGAATGCACTGCAGAGATATCGGCTACTAATTCAGCGAGAACAATACTGTTCTCACTTGTGATACCTCGAACGATGCTGACATCTTCAGCATCGTTATCAGTAAGAGCGTCATCGCTCTTACTTTCTTCCTCTTCACCGAAGTCAAATGGTACGACTTCGGTTACTTTCGCGTCGACCATAAAGTGGCTGCGTGATGAGCAAAAGCCGGATAATTTTTCGCTAGAGCAAGTCTCTCCCCCCCATAGATTAGGGTCACCCTCTTCTAAGGTGGGGACACGTGGATGGCAAAGGCCTTTCACGTAGAATGGTGTATGCGTTGTGGACGCATGCACGGAGTTGTTAATGGCGAATTCAACCACGACAAAAACTCACTCCATCTCGTGAACGAGTTGACGTACCCTCGAATTATCTCTTCAAGGTCGCAATTGGCGCGTTCAGTATGCACATCAATTTCTGATGGTCAGAAGTAGACATCGTGAGCCGTGTTCCAAGAGTTTGAAACACGGAACGTCAAAATCAGCGCTGAACTGGGGGTCCTGTCGGACACAAGTTCACGGGGTAGACCGTGCAATCGAAAGATTGTATCGATGTACACCCGAGCACAGCCCTCTGCTGTGATCGACTCAGACACAGCAACAAGATGTACCATCTTGCTGAACCTGTCTACAAACACGAGAATACCGAGGATAATCTTTGGGAAACCCAAAGACGAAGTCCATTGATACGGACTCTCGGCACTCTGTCGGAACAGGTAGAGGCTGCAATGGTGCACGGAGTGAAGACTAGGCTTCAATCGTTGACACACCCCGCAAGCACGCACGTACTTGCGCACGAAGTTATACTGGCGTGTCCAGTAAAAGTCGCGACTGACCGCGAGATCAGTCTTTTCACGGCCGCGATGCCCACTTACTGGTGCATCGTGACGCTCAAACATGATCCGTAACCTGAGATCATGTTGGGCGGATACGACGACGCGAGTTGTGTCGCCGTTGGCGGCTGTGTAATAAAGAAAGACATTCCGCTGTGTGTTTCGATATGGAAGATCGATATATGGCAGGCAAGCGCTTCTTAGCTTGCTTGGGTGGGCCCATGAGGTACTTACTCAGACGCACAAGATCACTATCTTGTGCATAGGCCATCCTAATGTCGTCGAGTTTACTCGACGACAAGGCGCTTGTACTCAGCGTGGCGACAGTGATGTTCACATCACTGTCGGATTGCACAGTCGGCTCTAGGTCAGGACGACGTGAAAGAGCATCGGCGACGACGTTAAGTCGTCTCGGTTATACTCCACGGAGAAGTTGTACCTCGCGAAGAAAGACAACCATCTCGCCATTCTTGAGAGAGGTGTGGACTGTTTACAGCCGTGTGTAATGACGCATGGTCTGCATACACTATGAACGGTCTATCTCCTAAGAGATAGACGCGAAACTTGGCCAGTGCATATTTCATGGAAAGGAGTTCCTTGTCATGCACCGGGTAATTGCGCTCAGCCGGTTGCAGCTGACGCGGTTGATAACAGACGACACACTCTGCGCCGTCTGTATCATACTGCATCAGTGCACAGCCGATTGCAAAATCGCTGGCGTCACCGACCACGTTAAATGGTCTGTCCTGATCTGCAATCGACAATACCGACGATTGCATCAAGCTTTGCTTGATACGTTCAAAGGAACGCTGACAGTTAGCGCTCCAGTCCCACTTTACAATTTTCTTGAGTAAACAAGACAGGTGTACGGTAATCTCGGCGATGTTACGCGAGTACTTGTGCAAGTATGTCACTATCCCAAGTAGCTTCCTTAGTCCCTTGATATCGACTGGTACTATCCCATAGGTGATCGCCTTAATCTTTTCTGGATCAGAGAGTACGCCGTTCTTTCCGACGATGCACCCAAAAAGTAGTATTGCGCTACCTCCGAAAATACACTTCTTGAGGTTGGTTTACAAACTTTTGCTCGCGCATAAGTGTAAGAATTTTACGGACGTGGAATTCTATCTATGGACGAACGCATATCAGAGTAACTCGGTACAAAATCGCGCACCGGTCTCAATAGATGTGAACACACTATTGAATGTGGCTGGTGCATTACTAAGCCCTTGCGGCATCACCAACCATTCCCAGAGCATACCACTGGTAGCGCTCGCTGTTGTGTACGAGATGTTCCGTTCACGCATATGAATCTGATAGAAGCCATACACCAGATCCATGGACGAAAAGATGGTACTCTTAGACATACCATCTATGATCATGTCCTTTGTCGGTATCGATTTTTGCGCCGGTATCGTTGCAGCGTTCAATTTAAAGAACGTGGCGCTACCCGCCAACTCATGTGGCCTTGCGCACCAGAAGGTCGGAGAGCTGTGAGGTGAAGTTGAATCTTTCACAATGTCTGCAGTTAAGCGATCGGAAAAGCACTTGTCGATCGCCTCGACCCGTTCCCGAGGCAGGCACCACTGCTTCATGACACAATAATTTGTGCCTAAAACTAGATCGATCTCGTGTAAAGTACCTTTATCCTTAGGTAAGTCGCACGGTACGAATTCAGGGAATACATCCTTAAAATTCGACCAAATCATCATACAAAGGATTTGGATTCATTGGCCCCAGGATTGCGATGTGTATTGCTTAATCCGAGTCTTCTCATCTAATGCATTTTTGTCCATAAATGAGCTGCTGATAACCCGTTTGCTCTCGGCAAATACTGTTACTGACCTGATATTGGTCACGTACTCGTTCTCTGCGACGACTAAGCAGATCTGCTTGACGTTGCCACTACGCATATCACGCAAAAACCTTTTAGGTTCGAGCGTAGGCAACTGAGTTATCTCCGAATTTAACTATGGAGGCGCAACCCGATTAAGCGTCCAAGCTCCTTCGTTCAATCTGTCATTAACCAATACTTTCAACGTCTCGGTTACTTCCTGGGGGCATATTCCTCTAGGTCACTGGGGACTTATTCCCTTAAGCCATTATTTCTTATTCCCTTAAGTCATTATTTATTCCCTAGAGTCATTATTTCTTAGGTAATTATTCCCGCAGGCTCGATGGAGATCATTCTATCGAATTCCTCTAGTTGTGGTGGCGCAACCATGCGAGATCCTCTACGATTAATCCTCCAGTTGATCTAGGACTACCGTGTTGCCGCTTCTGGGCAACCGGTTTACTCTTCGGTGAATGCTGCCCTCTAGGAGAGCATTCATGCCCCGGTCCACTCGACTTATTCGAGTGGTGAACCTTCGGTGCTGCCTGTGCTCGTGCACAGCCGCCGGCAGCTTGCTCCACAGCGTGACTGTCTGTCACGCTGAGTTCTTGTGCAGTCGTACTAACGACCGAATCACAAGTGAGGCCATCACACTCACTCGTAGTACATTCACACGCTTGTGAACGCTCCAAGACGTTCATCAGATGGCCATCTGATGAACAAGCGGCAGGCATCTTCACGGTTCGATGCTGCCAGCTGACCCATGGCTCGTACCATCTGAGCCATGGTAATCCTAGGATGACATCAAATTTGTCATCCAGATCAAGTACGATGAAATCATCATCGTACTTTTTGCCTTCAAGCGTGTAGTGAATTCCCACTACACGTTTCTTTACTGTTACGGATGCGCCAGTTGCAAGGCGCACCGTCATCCTCGTTGGAGGGGTCTCGCGCTCAACATATTTGAGCCTACGATCATCTAGCGATTGGCGTCGAACAAAGTTGTTCGAAGCCCCACAATCAACTAGGGCGCGAAGTGACATGTTCTTTGTCACTTCGATCTTCAAGGTGATGAGGGATACGTCATCACTGGGAGCGGCAACACACAGTGACTGTGTGTTGGGAGCAACTTCGTCAAGAGTCCCGCGTACTCTCTTGACGTTGCTGGATCAGTAGGGCGCTCCGCCCCTACTGACCCCGACCGTTTTTTGATGGTCCACCACGTTTCTGGCCCTTCTTGGCAGACGGACGATCTTCACTCCCAGTGTTACGAGACACTGGGCGTGGCGCACTACACTCATAAGCGTAGTGGACCAACTTCTGACAGCGATTGCACTTTTGCAATCGCTTGTACCCTGGAGAGCGAGGTCACTAGCTCTCTACATAGGAGAGGTTCATTGGTTCTGGACCTCCGCCCTCCTGTCGTCTCGGTGGACGATAGGACCCCGAGTGAACGTGAGCCTGTTGCAGGCTAAAGTCCTCCTGTTCCGCTGCAGAGATCACTTGATCTAGAGATTCTAGTTCCAAGCGGAACAGGTGGGTCTTAACAGGACCATCTGTCAGACCCTTGATGAACACAGTAACCTGCGTGTGTTCATCGATTGGGTTCAGTACGATACAGCTAACGAGGTATCGTACGTGTTGGGCGTAAGTGTCTATATCACGCTTACCCTGTTTCAAATCCAGGAGCTCAGCCCGAGCCTTGAATCCGGCGCGAGTTAGTTCAAACGTGTGTTTGAGCTGCGCCTTGAAAACGCCATACGTTAAGAAAACGTATGGGTCATGACGTTTGAGCCCTAAGGCCCAAGCTTTGGCACGTCCTGCCAAGTTCGACATGGCGACCTTGACCTACATCGCATCGCCATCGATGCGACGAGCCTCAATGGCATCGTCGAGCTCGACGAACCATCTCAACAAGGATTCGCTTTTGACTGGCTTGTATTTGGAGACATCAATCTCCACGGACTCGAGTCGACGCATATACGTCGACCCGGCAGCAACAGCACTAGCCTGCTGTTATCTTAACAGTTCAGACTCTTGAGCACCCTGATGCATCAACAAGTCAGCTTGTTGAGCGCCTTGCTTTCTCAACAGGTCTATTTGCTAAGAACCTTTCTCCTGTAGCAAGGTAAGCTTCCTTACAACTTCGTCAAGTTCATGTTGTATGAACTTGGCGATGGTTGCATGTTGTTCGTCTCCGCTAAGAGAGAGCAACATGGCACCAACGGCAGGGTTGCCGATGGTTTCAGCCGTACGCTGAACCGCCTGCCGATCAAGAGCACTGAAATGGAAGAAGTCATCAAGCGTTGCGTGATGACGTTCTTTTCATTACATTTGCTCATATATCGGCAAAGCCTTAGCCAAAAAGTAATTATTATGTGCATGCCATATCATTGTTCAGCGCACAGCATTAAAACAGCATAGTACTGTAATCATAATGACCGCTTTAACATGCAGTGTAAATTATTACTATTATAAGTATACTATTGTAATACGAACTACCAGGAAGTAAACAAAACGCCAACCTTAGTATCGATTTAGGAATAATGAAGTGGACTTTACTGCTTCTGCTTTCTTTTCCTTGTGCCGAATGCGTGCTGCCGACTGGCATTTTATCTTTGAATCTACTGCCCGAGTCACAACACGAGTCCCAACCTTTAAAGAAGCAGTTCTGTTCGCCGAGTGCGGCGGCTGGATGGGGTGTCGCTCTGCCTGCCCGCGTTGACTCGCACTGGAAGACACTGACGCAATTACCCGAGGAAAATCGTGATGGATGCGCGTCATACAAACTTCACGATGACGCGGAGACGTCGACAGATGGTCAGATGGTTGTTGTTGACCGAGGAAATTGTTCGTTTGTCGCTAAAGCGCTTCAAGCGCAAGCTGCGGGGGCTAAGGGATTAATTATTCGAGGTACCAAGAAAGCAGTGTACGAGGCTGTAGCGAGTCGTAATAGTACAAACTCTAGTACAAGTACGTTACATAATGTCGAGACAGGAAAAGCTACAGCTGCTACGAGTCTGGAATCACTTGACAAGCCAGTGTTTGAGTACGACTGCCGTCGAGGTCAAGCATTCGTGGATAAGCTAGCGACTCCCGTGTGGCAAACAGATGCAGAAGAGTGCAAGGGTAATATCAGGTGTTTGTCCAGATCGTGTGTGTTGACGGGACACAAGAGTGATGCGAAACACCAGGTGTGCTGCTTGTGGGACACGTTCGTGCTCATGGGCGCTCCGAACCAAACGGTGGTCAAAACATTGACGATCCCAGTGGTCTATGTGACCATTGCTAATGGACAAGAACTTCAGAAGGCCATGGACAAGTACTCGACGTCATTGGTAGCACGTACGTATCGACGGGAATTGCCCGTCATTGACGTGTCGTCAATGCTGCTGTGGGCACTTGGAGTGGCGACTGCACTTGGAGCGGCTTACTATTCCATAGGTCCGCAGTATCGTCAGAATGGCAACATTGCAGCATCTGACCACCAGAACCTGCATAATGAGCAGGATGCCCGCGAGGAGGAAGATCGGGCCATGCGCAACGAAGTTTGGGAACTTGATGCCAGACATGCAGTGGGCTTCATTGCTCTGGCTGGAGTTTTCTTGACGGTGTTGTACTATGTGAATATTGGTAATGCCATTCCTGTTCTTTTTGCGGTGTTCGGTGCAGCTTCTATGACGCACGTGGTTGCAAAGCCTGGAGTGGAAAAGTTTATGCCGAGTTCAGCTTCTTACGAAGTTACCTTACCATTGGTAGGCGACACTGTTCGCTTATCTGAGTTGCTTGGATTCGTGCCAAGTTGTGCAATTGCTATTGTGTGGTTTCTTCACCGGCGTACGTATTGGGCATTTCAAGATATTATGGGAATTTGTCTTTGCTTCGTGTTCCTACAAACGGTGCAGTTACCGAATCTTAAGGTAGCTACGGTGTTCCTCACGCTTGCATTCTGCTACGACGTTTTCTTCGTGTTTCTATCACCTCTTTTTTTCGGCTCGAGTATTATGGAAGACGTGGCTACTGGTGGACCAGCAGCGTACACGAAAAGAGACTATCCGGGCGTGGACTACTGCGAGAGATACCCAGAATATCCGGCTTGTGTAGACCCCGAGCCTATGCCGATGCTTCTTGTGTTGCCGCGCATACTGGAATGGACTGGAGGTGTGAGCATGCTTGGTCTTGGCGACATTATTTTGCCAGGCATGCTTCTATCGTTCACGCTACGATTCGATTACGCCCAGGGTTTGACAAACTACTTTCGTCTTATGGCCGTTGGCTACGCTGCCGGCCTAGGGCTCGCCAACCTGGCAGTTATAATCACGGAAATGGGTCAACCAGCACTCATGTATCTAGTGCCAACCACTTTAGGTTTGCTTATCGTTGCGTCGAAGAGAAATGGTGATTTTCGCGCTATGTGGACCGGTGATGAAGTTGACAAGAAGAGACGAAATAATGAAGGTCTTGGATATCAAGCTGTTGCATCAGAGGAAACGTCTACAGGAATTGTGATTGGTGATGTGATGGGGCACGAGTAAAGAAGAGGAGACGATTAGTCATTGCAGAGCTCATCAGGTTCATAGATTCGCAACCTGTGCGACGTTTTTACACGGCTGTGCCAGGGTATATCAGTATCCTAAAAGCATCACGTCAGTACTCGGTCAAAATATTATTACTGCTATTTGCGGATGTAATATGCTGTAAAACGAATAGCCCACGTCGTCGATACTACTTTTATATCATTACCCGGAACGTAACAAAAGTCATGTATAATATTATACAAGTCGTCTGCGAGTAATATATTCAGAATCCTGTCAAAATTCATATAGGTCCAGTTTGCGACAAACAGTGACCAATTGACCAAATCAACGCAAAGACTTTTTCGATCATGTTTGATTACGTCGCGCGTCAATACCGTTGGTACAAGCTCGAGTTTGGGCTTACGATGCTCAGCTGGTGGGAGGTGTTGATCTTCAGTGCGTTTCTCCCGTCTTTCTACTTGCAATAATTGATAACAACCTACTGACTTTCTTTTTATTGAATTTTATTACGACAGACTGCTTTCTACTACTCGTAACAAGCGTGACGGGCTACTACGTCTACAGCTTTGGCGGACGTGTTGCTGGTCTCCTTCAGTAAAAACATCGATACATAGAGGGGAACATTTAATGACCACGCAGATAACAAAGAGAAGGTGTAAATGCAGGAAGAAATTGTAATGTGGTTAAGCGTTTTGATAGATTTGTTTCAATATCTGAATTCGTCGATATCGTACGCAATAAAAAGTGATAAAAAGACACAAATATGACGACGCGATAAACACAAGATGATAAGTAAGTATACTGGAACCTAAGAGAAGACAATCAACATTTGTTGCAATCTCTCTTTGTTGTCATCAACAGCATTGACTACATGATGACGTTTATGTGAGATCGTAACATTTATGATCTGGAATCGTTTGTCGACTAGAGTGAGAAGAAGTGCGTCGGATTGGCAGTGTTTTGATACCGAACAAGATCAATTAGGAAGATACACGGGTGTGTGTTGAGGTTGAAGACATGACTGATTACTTGAACATGCGTCTTGTTCATTCATGTGTGTAGAACGTCGACGACGATCGTGATCGTTGCAAATTGCTTACACAAATGTATGTTTCTTTTTTGCATGTACTGACGCGTTGCGATGCTACATTTTTTGCTCTTCCAGTCTATGTCGGAGTATTTCTCAAATGTGGTGACGATAGCAACAGTGAAAACGATGGCGACGAAATGGTGCACGCTATTACGGAGTGAGCCGAAGCGTGAAAAAATGCTGCTACATTGCGTTACAATCTTCACCTGCACCGTGAACGAAGCGTGAGAATATCATATACGTCGGATGTTGACTCGTCACTGCAACTTTGTCTTTTACCGCTCAACAACAGCGGGATATTGTTCCGTTGAACCAGTGTTAATCGTGAGATGCGTAGAGATTTTTTTCGAGAAGAGGTGCCACATTTTGTGAGACGCCATGATATGATAAAAAACCACAGCTTTATCTTAGTTGTAATACTAGAGCATGAACTCGATCTTCATGTTTTCTGTTAAGTGCACTCACTGCCCCTACCTTCGAGGGCTGATTAGCATTAAATGATTCCTATCGTACTTCTTTCCTATGACTTAGTAGTGCTGCCCGTGAATCCTAGAACGTGACAGTGAGTAGAGATCTGACAGAAAGCCATCCTTGTCCGCGTGACTTGAGCGACCGTATCTCGGACCTCGCCTTTTGTGAGGACGGTCGTCATCATCCGAATCCATGCTGAGGGTGAGGCCGTCGAGGTCAGTAAGAGGTGCCTTCATAACACCGAGGTCAAATTTACTCAAGCCAAGACCATTTTCCATCAACGCAGCTTCAGTTCCATCATCGCTGTCTTTCGAGATGACCGAGAAGCCGCCAGTATAACTCGGTTTCTTGGGCTGCGATGGCTGGTACGGTGACCGGAAAGGAGGCAATGGAATTTGATGCCCATTTTTTGCGTGGCAAGAAAAAGGTTCTGGACGCTGTTGATAGTGCCTAGATTGTGCAGTATGCTCCATCGGTGATTGGTACTGTTGTCGAGGCTCCCGGTACGATGAAGCCCCATGCTTCTTTTGCACACGATTTTCCTTCACACTTTTGTTGCGTCCCTCCGTTTGCTGCTTGTGCGACTGAGGAGTAGACGGGTAGGGTGAAAACTTGTCCACTGAATCCAAATCAGACAGTGACACCGCGTCACTACGACTACTCTTGCTCTTGCTCTTTGATCGGTTTCGACCGGCCGCAGCGCGTTCACGAAGGTATTCGTCGTCATCGTCGTCTTGGCTGCTCCAGTCACTGCCCCAGTCGAGATAGTTTGATCGCAAGCTGGTGTCAACGACAGATTGCGAACTTTGGTTCGCCTTTGCTGGGGATTTAATCGCATTCTGGCTGTTCGACATCGTCTGTGGGCCACGACGGGAAAGTTCTTCCGTGGCAGCAGTTTCACTGAGCCTCTTGTTGATAGACGCCTCAAACTTATGGGAGTCGATGGCCTCGGTACTGTTGATGCAGAGCTTACAAAATCGCTGCTGGTGCGGACGGCCAGTCTGGGCGTCGACGTGGAAGATGAAACGGTAGTCTGAGCACGACTTGCAGACACTCTGGAAGCAGCCTGCACACGGACGGTTGGTTGAAATAAACGACCGACCGTAACAAATGTGGCAAAGCGATCTGACCGGCCACTTGCTATGCTGGGCGTTCTTCATCAACATCGAGAACTTCTTAGCACGCGCACTTTTGGCACATTCGGTGACATTCAAAAGAGTGCCTGCAACAACGTACTCGGCTAAACGCGGCGCAACGGAGTCCAAATTGTAGACGGTTGACCAAATGAAGCACTCAACCTGGTTATCACGGTAATTCCGGTATAGGAAACATGTCACCTGGTGCTCACGCTTTATGCCTTTGATAGCATCGATCGGCCAGTCCGGGTGGTCGATCGAGTGCAGCACGTGATAAGCCAGTTCATTTCCATTAGCATCTGTGGTTGTACCCATACGTTCATAAGCGAGCACGTCGCGGTGTTTACTTAGTCCCCATGCAGCCTTGGCAGCAAACCACTTGATACCAGCAAAGCGATACGGTGCGTCGGGGCTTCTTTGTTCAGTCACGTTCATAATACTGCCGTCAACCAACTTGTACTTGAGTAGAGTCTTGCAGGCACGAAGACCTTCCGTGGTGTCACAGTAGAGTCCATCCATAACATCCTGCACAGGTCCTTGAACTAATCCTGTGCCTCTAAAGAGCGTCACATGTGGGTCACGTGTGCCGTAGACGCTTTTGTAGATACTGAGCTGCTTGCGACGTCGTACGTGAATCCAGGCGTCGTCGTGGGTGAGATAACTCGGTGAAGAGTACTCAGTCACTGCATCACAGAGGAATGAAGCCACATTACGGTCGTAACGAGCTCTTTCCTCTGAAGTAAGTACGATCTGCGGGAAGAAGGGAATGTTATCAAGCATTGTGAAGCAGCTAGTATCGACGCTTTCGAACGTGCGTTTGAGCTGGCAAATCTCTTTGTGCCTGTAGGATGTAGTCTGTCTTTTGGAAATGTATTGTTGTCGTTAAACAGCTAAAAGACCAGAGAGACGAATCTGGCTGGGACACCAAGTCCATCTGAAGACCGGGACGTTCGCCTTTTGTAACAAGACAGATCTTAAAACACAATCTAGTGGAAGGGGTTTCGACATTACTCTCGTCAAATTTGTGGATAGGTAAGACGGACACGAGAAGCGTGAATCAAGCAGTGGGCAATTTATGCTCCAAATACTTACAGAGAGCAGTAGAGAGTACGGATACATGTAAAAGGATGTTGTACGATACGGTAAAGCAAAGGGAAAAAAGTATTTGACGTGACAAAGTCATATCTCGTCTCCATGCCTTTTGCACTTTTGATGACGTCTAGAATATATACACAACATTCGCTACGATATATGGGCGATAAGACGCCTCTAAGTAGCAGAATTGTCTCGACACCACTGCAACGTTGTATCGTCATGGCTGAAAAGACACCCTCTAATAATAAATATTTGTATCGTACATGGTTCAAAAACGACAATCTCTAACGACGACGCGAAAAAAGATTGAGCGTGTCTTGAACATCGGACCAAATTTGTCTCCTTGGGATCTACACACTACTATTCTATAAACGACAGTGCTTCTTGCTGCATGTTTAGCACGACACCTCGATTTTAAGAGCTCAATAGCAGGACAACAAGAAGTTTACGGACTTTGTGAGTCGTCTCATTAAAATCTCTTTTCTAAACACGTCCATCGGGACCTATCCATGGCGGCGTCCACGAATTGCATGCAGAACTTCTACGGTGATGGTAGGAAAGGGAGATGCACGGGAACTAAAGCTTTTTCGAGAGAAAAAATCATTCGTACATGTTCTTCTACAGCATACGAGATAAAGTAAATCGGGACAGGTTCGGACACATCGCTAGGCTAGTCATGCCGAGCGTAGCAGACAGAACATGTAGCGTAAACACTTTCACGTTTGACCTGATTTTATTCTAATTTCTCAGTCATGTTATCAGCCGCACGATTCCATCTGGGTTGTACATTTGCATGGGGTGTGACTAACAGGCGCCCACATGGGAATAACGAAGTGCGATATCTAGGTGGTAACAGATTGTCTATTTACCGATTATGGTTTACAAGATTTCTGAAAAGTCTTCAGCCATGTCAATAACCCAAGAGATGTCTCCTATCGGTGGCGAGGGCTGTGCAGTGCCGACTGCCGATTGACGATAGTGTCCTGGAACTTTTCCGTTGCTAGGCGGAGAAAACGAAGCGCGAGGTCTGAACCTAACCTTCAGGCGGAAGTTACTATCACAACGTCCCACGAAATCTGACTAGTGACGTCTGCGACTTGGATTCGTGGCGTTACTATCCTTATGAAGGTATACAGACCTGCAATACCGTGTCAAGGGCACCCGTCAACGGACTGAAAACTTTCTATGCTGACTTTCAAAATAGAGCGTGTGATAATGTCGCTAGCGGTTTGACTCGAGTTTTTGCAGCACTTGCGGCAGTCAAGAGTCTTGATCTGCTGGATCTGTACGCAAAGGTCGCATAGATTAGGCCCCAGGGTCCTTTTTCTCCAAGGTATTTGGTAGTCTGTTGGCCAACATGGCCATAAACAAATGAAAAGTAAACTTGATTTGTGCCTTTCATGAAGGAAAAGGGGGCACTTCAAGAGCTAATCGGGCGGATGGAGACATGCAGATATGAGGGGGGGGACATGCACGGCGGAAGTTGTAGGAAAATGGTCTTGCATGAAATGGAGACGAGCACCGGGAGGACCGGATTGAAAACGATGAAGAACGTGACGTAAGCAAAATGGACGCTCCATTACTGGACGAGGCGAGGCCAGGAAGGGCCAAGTTTTGAATGGATATTATAGCTTGATCGATAGACATGAGGGTTAGTAACAGGATAGACGACATCTTACAAACGATGAGGCCGGCATTGCATCGGTTATGCTTTATTGGGACGTCTCATCGTCTTCATCAAAAAAATGGACATCCTATGTGAGCCCATCAACAAATATTGCATATTGTCGCCGTATATGTATCGGTAAAAGATGAGAAGGTTCACCTTCAAGTCATTATTGCAACTTTACTTTTTATCAACCAATCAAATTCTATAAATGAGCATGATAAGTGAGACCAGCATAATTTGTCAATAGTTTTTTGCAATAACTATGAGCGAGCCCAATGAAGTCGTGCCATTACTACCAACAACTTCTGCTGACCCTGTTGTGACTAAAGTAGATGCTGAACCAAACGCTCATCATGCTTTACTAGGCATTACATGTGTAGCTATAGCATCCTTGTGTTTCAGCTTCACGGTCACGTTCATCAAGTACATGACCTTCACCTTTTCGTCCATGGAAGCCACGTTCTGGCGATCAGTCGGTGTCTTTGTATGCAATTACGTACGTTGCAGTCAGTAGGATTCATTAATTGACAGATTTTTACTGATCTCTAGTATGCTGTGGCCACAGATTGTCGTAAAGGTGTCGGACATTCGTCTTGACGTCCCACCAGAGTATCGAAAGTTACTGCTGCTTCGCTGTATATCTGGGTTTGCATGCATGGGATTCTCCTTTTATGCCATGTCACAGATGGTGTTAGCAGATGCAAGCAGCCTGGTCTTTTCAAGTCCTATCATGACCTTCTTTTTTGCAAGTTTCTCGCTCTTACGTACTGCTACTATGACAGGGACAACAGTATTGACAGTGTCGATTTTGCTTTTTGATTGCATTCAGGGAGCGCTCTTCCTGCACGAGAAGATTGATGTGGTGAGCCTTCTTTGCGCTATCGTAGCGTTTGGTGGGTTGATCTGCGTTGTTCGCCCGGGGCTGCTGTTTGGATACGACCATGCAACGGCTGCTACGGATGGCTCTCGGATTGCTGTAGCTTCAGCATTTCTCGCTGCTTTAAGTCAAGTTTTCATGTTTCTGACAATACGCCAGCTCCAAGGGCTGAATGTGTTTGTCATTGTTCACTACTTTGCATTGGCTAGTATCATATTGACGATGTTGTGGTTGGCGTTGATCCAGCAGGTACGTTGCTGTGACCAAAGTGGGTATCGGCTACCTTACTCACTCGTTTGCGCCTATTTGTTTCTGCTATCTCGATAGTCATTTTACATTCCCTCCACATTTTTGCTCTGGAGAGCTATCGTCGGGACCGGGATCTGCACTTTTGGTGGCCAAATGTTTCTGACTCGGGGATTCCAGCTCGAAAAAGCAGGCGTTGCAGCAGTCATGAGATATTTGGACGTTGTTTTTGTCTTTATCTGGGATTCCGTTATCCTGGGCGAGCATATCAACCATTGGAGTATTGTTGGCGCTATGATCATTCTCACCTGCGCAGTGGTAATTGCGATTCGTAAGATACGGACGACCATGCAGGAATGAGTCACGAAAGTAACTTGATGAACTGAGCAAAAAAGTCGGCGACAGTGGCAACAACTTTACTTTTCATCCTGCACAGACTACCTTGTGCGATTGATTTGCCACCTCAGCCCTCTTGGAGCATATTTGGCTTTATAAACAGCGAAAAACTGAAACGATTGACAACGAACAAAGCTGAGAAATTTGACTACATTGAATCCGTTGTTGCCGCTGTAAATTGATCTCGGCCACCGATTCATGAATGCCTTGCTATTTGAAAATAAGCACGTGTTATAGTATGTATCTATTATACTTGAGCCGGCATCACGAACGACATGGAACATATTTACGTACTCGATAACGTCGTTGTCTACTGTAGTCGTGCATTGTAAACTTATTGTTATGTTTGGTGCCTGCACCCCCGGGCTAGTGAACAAGCGTTGCTAACGCAACACTTTTTGCTGTGGCTGTCCGACTCGACGATTGCGTTTTATTCTACCGCGAAGTCCAACAATTTTGCAACGACATAAAGTAGCGAGCAAACCTTTAGTCGAAAGCGCTGCATTATTCCGAACCGTAGGCTAGGAATTAGACAGTGAGAGTGAAAGATGATTTGATGGCTGTAATATAATACGCTTTCTAGGCGCAAGAGTGGAACTCCAGTCATTTAACATCATGCCAACTGAAGTCGTGAAGCACGTATCCGAGCACCACCGGCTGTTGCCTACTACATCGCTGAATGTTAAGCCCGAGTATCAACCACATGCGCTGCTGGGCATGGCGTGCGTGGCACTATCGTCCGTGTGCTTTAGTCTCATGTCGACAATGATCAAGCTCAATACCTACACAATGACGTCCATCGAAGCCATTTTCTGGCGCTCCATTGTCGCTATGGCGCTTAATTACGTGCGTACATTCAAGTGTCATGAAGTTGCTACCTGCTCAAACTCATAGAAAACCTTTTGTTGGTTTGATGCTGGTGGTTACAAGTGCAGGTGTCTATCTGGTACAGCGGCAAGACGTTGTATGTCGCGCCAAAAGACCGGATGATGCTGTTCTACCGTTGCTTGGCTGGATTTTTGTCGATTTCGTTTGCATTCTACGCGCTATCGCAAATGGTCCTCGCTGACAGCAGTGTCATCGTTTTCACATCTCCTGTCTTCACCTTTTTTCTTGTGAGTCAACTTCATTTTCTTCTTGTAGGATTGATTAAGTATGAAGATGATTGTTCTGACATTGTTAAGCTGTTCAGGGTGCCTGTCTACTCCACGAACACATTGACATTCCCAGTTTTGCGTGTTCGTTGCTGTCGTTTGGAGGTTTGATTTGTGTGGTAAGACCCGGCTTCATCTTCGGATACAACCACGCTACAGCTCAAACTGATGGCTCATGGATCGCGGTTGGATCAGCTCTGCTTGGTGCCATTGGCCAAGCGTTTGTGTTCATCACTGTGCGAAAGCTGAAGGGTATCCACTTTATGGTCATTGTGCACTATTTCATGCTGTTCAGCATGACCGGATCGCTTGTGTACATGCTGGTGGTGCAGCGGGTAAGTTGCTGGCTATGATTAACACAATCGCTAATGAAGCTAAGCCAAATGTATTTTCTCAACAGGTATTTGTAGTGCCATCGACGCTTGGTGTCTGGTTGTCTGTCGTCGGTAGCGGTGCGTTTACGTTTATTGGCCAGCTACTGCTTACCAAGGGCTTCCAGCTCGAGAAGGCAGGTATTGCCTCGGTGATGCGCTACTTGGACGTGGTTTGCGTTTTCATCTGGGACTACCTGTTGCTCGGTGAGAAAATCAACTACTGGAGTGTCGTGGGCGCCGCTATCATTTGTGCATGTGCCGTTGTGATTGCACTGCGCAAGGCGCACTTGAGCTAGAAGACTTGAGCGAATTTTAAGCTGATTTGGTTGGAAAGACAACAATGAGAAATGCATACTGGCTAGTATTTTTTCTCGTGTTCATTTGCATTTGCACGCTACAACAAAAACATCTCGGCAGAGGCTGTTTGCATGGTTGTGATGTACAGGGGTCGACTACTCAAGCCGTAACTTCTACTTGAAAGCAGCTCGTATACGCTGCACCACCGTAAATTCCACTGGAAGTTGGGATTGAAGTGTTGGTATCACCATTGTAGAACTTCCAGTACCAGACAAGGTCGTAAATACCTGCAGGTGTACCGATAGGCACAGTAAATGTGGCTACACAAGGATAGCCGTCTCCAGCACGTCCCGACGGAATCGTCTGAGCTTTATCAGTGTACGCCTCACCGCAATTGCCATCGTCAAAGTTGTGTAGTTGATCATCGAGAAGCTTGTCTGCAGTCAAATCAAACGTCGACGCTAAACTCGTTTCCGGGACACCAGTCCAATAGAGACCGTAAAACGTATTGCTTGCAGCCTGCTCCTTAATGATATGACCATTCGATGTGTAGCCAAAGTAAAAGGTGGCTCCAGCAGACAAAGTGAGGCGAGTGCGCCAGTCAGAATAGTCCCAGGCATCAGTAGTACATACTGATGCATTGTTTGCAACGTCAGCAATGAGGATCTTGAACGTCATTTTAGTATTCACATCAGGGTCACCGCGACTGACGTAGTTCTTCATGTAGCCGGCACACATGCCGTTGGCATTATTTCCACCGTAAATGTACTCAGGTCCTCGGTTGTAGACAATCGTACGGTCAGTATCGAGACAGTCAATCCAGCTGTGACCTTGCACCACAACGATGCAAAGCATCTCAATAAAACACGTAACACTCATTTGCATTCTTTTCATGAGTGAGATATGATGTCGAGTCTGAAAATGACAAGAATGTACGGTAGATGTAGTTTGTACGTCTAAGGTGAAGGCCTAGACAAATGGACATCGAGAAAGGCTGAAATAAGAAGTAACATCTTCATTCACGTGCGTGCACGACTGACTATTGACACCATTGATGAGTAAATTTCCAATCCATGCAGGTATTTTCGAGGTTTTCTGTTTACTTCAATTCAAATTGGTCAGACAAAGGTACTGAGACAGATGGTTATAGAACATTAGCAAGTGGTCAACCGTATTACAGGAACTTTTCGTCGTCGAAATTGGTCTTCCTGCGGTTCAGCTGGCGTTTGCGCGAGTGGTAGTTGTCGAGGTGATGCTTCTTTTGAGATTGCTCTTGGCTTGGCTCATCTTCTTGCATGAGCGCCCGCTGCTGGTCCGCGTGATTGGGCAGCATGAGATGCGGGGGCACATCGTTCAAGATACTTTTGGCGCGGATGTTCATCCACTTGCGGAAGTTCCAATACGGAGCTCGCTCAGGCAGCTCCAGCGCAATTCGCAGCGCATTGTGCCAGTCGAGGCGACTCAAGCGCTTGTTCATCTGCATCATTTGCATCGTGAGTCGCACCGCCTCACGAGGATTTTTCCGCTTCTCGTCGTAAAAGTCGATAGCTTCGCGGTAGCACATGGTCGTTTTGCCCATGCGCTTGGCATTCTTCTGCAGCATTTGCACAGCAGTCTCGACGGCACCTCCTCGAATATAAGACAGGATCAAGCACTGATAGGTCACCGTGTCCCATTTCATTCCCTGATGTTTCATCTCGTTGGCAAGGGGGTGCATCCTCTCGAGTTGGTTGGTCTCCAGCAGAGCAAGCAACGCCGCGTTGTAAGCAAAAAAGTTAGGCTGCTCTTCCTTAGACCGGCGCGCTTTATACTTGTAAAAAATTTCTAGTCCTCGCAATTTTAGCTCCTCACTCTCGGACTTGGCGTGACCCATAATCACAGCACCAAGGTACACACCTTGCAGGTTTTCGCGAAGGTCCTCAGGCATGGATTCGTACACTTGGACCACCGTATCCCACTCTTTCCCCTTGGCGCACGCCGAAAACACCGAGTTGAAGATCGTTGCCGTGGGCTCAAAGCCGCTCGTCTGCATCATGTTCATGGTATCTAGCGCCAGCTCCCAATTGCCCGTCTTGCCAGCACAGATGGCGAGTGAATGGTACGTTGACTGTGTCATCTCCAGTCCTCTCTGGCGAATTGCACGCAGAACGCCTAGTGCACTATGTATATCTGAAGCACGGACACAACTGTTTAGAATATTGTTGTAAATGATGATGTTCAAGTCCAGCCGATTCTTAATCATATCGTCAAAGATCTCAAGCACCAGTTCATGTTGATGCGACTTAAGTGCCGATGACAGTGCGTGCGAGTACGTCACGGTCTGCGGGATGTATCCATCGTTCCGCATGACTTCAAACACACGCAGAGCGTGGCCATACTCCTCCTCCCTGTAGCAGCAGCCAATTGCACTCGAGTACGACTGGATGCGAGGACGGATGCCTTGCTCCCGTGCGTACGCCAGCACTCGCATGCAGTCCTGCACGCGTTTTCTCGCTCCCAGCACCTCGACGAGGAAGGAGGCCACCTCCAGCGTCAGACCTCGTCCATTGGACTGCTGAATCTCGTAAAAAATGTTCAGTGCCGTGCGCCACGCAGCTGATCCGTCTGACGTCTCCAGCGCCTCTATTAGCTGCGTTACGTACGATTCCTCGAGGCGTTCAAGTGGAATTAGCCTCGTATCTCGCTGCAACTTAAACTCATGACAACGTTTAATGTCCTGCTCTTGCTCCTGTATATCATCTTCTTCTCCTTCGTCTTCGTCTACTTGCGAGGTGATGAGATTCAATTGGGAAAACAATCGAGTCGACGTTGACATCAACATGAAACTGTCCGAGTAACGCAACGTTGAGCGCCATGGACTTGATACTATCTTCACGTCTCTTGGTATCATACGCAAAGAATAGAGTGACACACTGCGAGATGTTGCCAATGAATGCAGCATCTCATTCGATACACGACATAGGCAACTGTGGCGCATGTATGCGCGTCCTCGACGAGCTAGCATCGGACAGATCCAACCAAGCTACGTGGTCGATGGAATGAGAGGCTATTACAAAATCCTCGCTACAATCAGGACGTTTCCTACTCTAGGCTACCATATGAACGTCCTGGACTAGGAAGACCTTCATTCTGATTTTTTCAAAAGGAAACCCCTAACCACTATTCCGCATTGACGCCCTCCGTTTCTCATACAAAAAACGTAACAAAAAGAAGCTGCGCTCAGCATGGGAAACATGATGAGTATGGGGGGCGGTGGCCGTACGGGGACAGACGATGCGAGTGCCATGGACACCTACGTCTCTCGTCTTTCAGATGCCGAGATTAAGCGCTACATGGACGGGTATCGCCGCATATGCCGTGTGGAAAATAGCGGCTCTTCATCCAATCCGCCGTCATCTTCTTTACACCGCGAAAGCAGCAGAAACGTAACGGCAGAAATTGAAACGACCAACGGACCTCTATTAGGAAAGAAACTGTTCCGCAATAAAGTACTTGGTGCCTTTACAATGATCCCACACTCGCTGTCCGACCGTCTCTTTGACGTGCTGGATACTGAGCGTTCGGGAGAGCTTAGTCCCGTGAACGTACTGCGTGGTCTAGCTTGGCTCAAGCATGGCACTTTTGAGGAGAAAGTACAGCTGTTATTTATTATTTATGATCTGGAAGGGGCCGGTGAGATGTCGCGCGAGGTGTTGGACAGGTTTATGGACGTTATTTACGGCCGTTTGCGGTCTCGACATAGCGACACCGTCAAGTTCTTGGACAGAATTTTTGATGGTCGATTGAAGGTGAATTTTTACGAATTTCGACAGATTGTACAGCAAAAAGATAAACGAGGAGACGCGCTGTTAGTCAAATGGCTGGATGTATTAGCTGCAAAGGTTGGCATTGAAGATGACCCGCGAATTCTAGAACTAGAGAAAACCTATAACCCGATTGTGATACGTCGGCGAATTGCACAGGCGACGTTGTTTTCGTTGACAGAAGTCACAGCGTTGGAAAGACAGTTCCAAAAAATGTTTGATCCGAATGGAAGAGCGAGTACGCGAATATTGAGGTCTCAGTTTGTAGAGGTGCTGAGCGCCAAAGGACTCTTTCCAAAAGAGTTACTTGAGAGGTTTTGCGCTTGTACAGCCATCCAGGATTTAGTGCTTTTCGAAGAGTTTTGTCAGTTTTTATCGGATTTCTGTCGAGGTGTTTCGATCCACGAGAAGGTGCATCACCTTTTTCATATTTATAGTGATCGGAGCACAACGATGAGGGTGGACTTCGATGCTATGAAGGATCTTATCCGTGTGGGGATAAAGTGTAATACAAGTCATACAAACGTTCAGGTAGAAGAAGAACGACAAATCGAAGAGGTGACCGTAACTCGCTGGTATTTTTACAGCTTGCGTGTGGAACTAACACGTTGCATGGCGAGATGCAGGTTTCAGCGACGCAGACTGCGGAGGCAGGATGGGACGAAGAAGCATTTGCTGAGTGGGCATCCAGGGCTGTTGCTGTACGGAGGCTGCTTCGTCAGTTGGCGTTTGCAGCGTGCATTCTGCTTGGTCTAAAGCCTGAGTCTGCCTACCTTGAAAAGAGGACTGTCGAGTGGCACTGGCGAGAAGCTACCTGCGGTTTTGGTGTAGGGCAAGTGAGTTACTTTGTATTGAAGTGGCGTACAAACATTGCTAGTTGACCCACGCAGATGCATGCTTTGTGCTGTTTGTCTGCTTAGACCTGGAACTTGTTGGGAGCTGAATGGTGGCGACAATGGTGCGACTACGTTAGCTTGGATCCACGAACTGGGAGTCCTTATGGATCACTACCTATACCCCAAATCCCAGCGGGGACTGTTGTAGAAGTGGCCAGGAACATTCGGGGCAATATTGCATTACGAGCCGCTAGCAACGGTGATATTAAAAGTAGTTGTCCACCTCGACCTGGTCCGATTATAAACTGGAGTCTTCTCATGCAAAGTGGGTCCCGGCGTCTAAGGCAGAAGCTGGTGTTGGCTCGGGATTTCTACGTAAGTGCTGTAAGCCTGCTTATGATATTGCAACCTTGTTTACCGACTAGTTCGTGCTTCCAGATCATTCCGTCGTCAGTTTATGCTGTTTTGTTTTCGTGGTACAGTGGAGGACCGGACTTGGTGCGTTCAGTCGTCGAGATTTCTACAAGCACAGAACCTGAGTTTCAGATCGAATTGTTTCCGTTAGTATTACGCGTTGCGCGTGTTGATTCTGCCAACGGCAGTGTGATTCGCTCTGGAGAAGAGATTTTGTTAAGCGAATTGAGCACACCAGCTAGCCTACTGCATGCCACATGCCGTGCGCTACTTTTGGTGAAGTTGGTGGACAAAGCACGGCTGTGGTACTTTAACGACAAGTCACCAGAACATAAGATACGCTTGCGCGAAGAGTGTCCACTTGAGTTGAAGAAACTGACACAAGACAGCGTATTCTTGTTAGAAGTTCAAGATGACGATGGGTCGTGGCCACTCTCTCAAATTGATGACCCCATCACTTCTTCGCCTTCCAATACTGGCGACCGCCAACGAATACAGGGAAGTGGCCAAGTAAGTGAAAGCGACGCGGAGGCTGCAACGCGAAAACAGCAGCGTGAGTATCGCCCGTCATTACGCACGTCTGACATTTGTTCTCGCGGCAACCTCGGGGAGGTTTTGGCGCAGCGTGGTATGTAAACTTTTACACGATGGGTAATGAGTGCTGTATTTTTTACTTGCTGTTGTGAATGCAACTTATAGGTCCTGGAAGTGATGTCGGTTCTCCGACAATAGAAGTGGACCCCGTGCTCGCCTCGCCCGTTGTGAGAAGACGTTTTTCTAAGGACTCGTTTAATGGCCCTGGCTTGGTTGGTCTCGACAATCTTGGCAACACCTGCTATATGAGCAGCGCGCTGCAGTGTTTAAGTCATACGCGACTATTAGTTGAATACTTCAGGAATGAGGCGTATCTTAAAGACATTAATCTGCGAAATCGAGATGGAACTAATGGAAAGCTAACAGCAGCATTTGGCGAATTGCTTCGCGTTCTTTGGAGTTCTGGCCGCAAGCGTTTCGCCCCGAACGAATTTAAAAAGATGCTTGCTAAGTGCAGCCCGCAGTTTGCTGGATCAGACCAGCATGACTCGCAAGAACTTCTTGCGTGTTTGCTGAGCAGTCTTAGTGAAGATTTAAATCGTGTGGTAAAGAAACCGTACACGGAGCAGCCGGATAGTGACGGGCGACCCGACGCTTTGGTGGCAGAAGAGTGGTGGCAGAATCATCAGAAACGTGAGTTTTCCGTGATCGTTGCGCTGTTTACAGGCCAGTATAAGAGCTTGTTGGAGTGCTCAATATGCCAGTATGAATCAGCACGATTCGAGCCGTTTACCTTCTTACAGTTATCACTGCCCGAGAGCAAATCGCGGTCAATTGTGCTGACTATAATCTTTCGAACGGATCACGTGCCATTACGATTTTCGGTGCGAGCGCGAAATGACGATACGGTCCGACAGATAAAAGAGCAGATTGTTGCATTTTTGACGATGACAAAGAACGAAACTTTGGGCTTCGATTTTTTAAAGGATGAAGTTAACAGCATAGATGAAGGCAACTGGACAAAAGTGGTGATTGCGCGGATTTCAGATTTACACTTTGTGGATTCGCTTTTAGATGATAAACTACCATTGACACAGATTCACGAGAAGGACCAACTAGCCGCGTTTCAGCTTGATCGCGAGGAAGACTTGCTTCCTCTGCAGCTGGTTGCAGGTTCTTCGAATGCCACAAGTATCTCGGTAGTCAGTATGATGAACCAAGCAACAAGTGCCACGAGTTCAAGTAAAGAAGTTGCAATAGAGAAGATCTTTAAAAGTCAGGAGGGGGAGGAGGACGCTGAACTTGCTAGTGCAGTCTCGTTGAATGGAACTACTTCAGTCGATGCAAAAGAAGGTCAAAGTGCAGCCGTTAACGATCAATCTGTTGATGTGGTAGACGTTCGTAGTGACAGTGACCCAGATGATGAAAATGAAGTGCTGCTGCCATTAGGAGCATCGGTCTACGTTCGTAATGAAAAAACTAAGGATGTGGTTGCAGCGCGCGTAATTGGGAGCGATGTCAGCTCTGGCACAATTAATGTCGCATATCCCTCAGGCAGCCGAAGGTATCATATTCCATTATCGAAAGTTATTGAACATGGTCAAAGCGATGCTTTCATTTTCCTTGTGCATCGCCGCGTAGAGCGGTCGACTGACAGCTTTACAAACGCGCACATTACGCGACTTTTCGGTGCACCACTAGTCATTCGCGTCTCTCTTCGTGTTACAACGGCTTACGACTTTTATTTACTCGTTTGGAACCGATTGCGGCGGATTTTTAACTGGCGACAGCCTCCACTTGCGTCTGATTTTGCAGGAGAAAAGCACGGTCGCAAGCGACTTCAGGCGGATGCCTCGTCATTAGCTCTCGGTGAACATCTCCCTTTGACAAAGTTTGGATTTTGCTTGCGGTTTGTCACGTCACATGGAATTGGATGTTCTCGCTGTGAGTGGATCGATGGGTGTTTGGGATGCGTGCTTATGCCGTCTTCACAGACGGTTGTCCCACTCGCGGCCGAAGAAACAGTGGCGATCGATTGGGACATCCGTACCCTTAAAGAAGAGTACGACCCAATTCAAGCAAGCAAAATAGACTGTGATGCATCTGTGCAACAGCATCAGCGACAGGACAACCAGCCTCTCAACCTGGCACATTGTATGGAGATGTTTACAGCTAAGGAAACCATTCCCGAAGCTTACTGTGGTCACTGTAAGACGTTGCGTCCCGCTACAAAGAAGATGGATTTGTGGCGTCTTCCACCGTTGCTTGTGATTCATCTTAAGCGCTTTTGCTTTACGCAAGTATCACGGCGCAAGTTGCAACACCTCGTGGACTTTCCGCTAAGAGGCTTACAGTTTGGCGAGTTTGTTGCCCGGAAGCGTGAGCCACACGGCCGACTTGCTGGTCTGGAATATTGGTTGTTTTTGGGTGGTAAACTGAAGACAGGGCCAACAAGTGAGCAATCTGAATCTCCACATGTTGTTGGCTCAAAACAGGCAAGACCAGGATCCCCACGTCGGGTGTCGTCATCGGCATTGGATGCTCCTGCCGCAGGAACTGCAGCAGTCCGCGGTGACGATGGATTTCTCTACGATTTGTATGCTGTTGTCAATCACGTAGGTGTGCTAGGAGGAGGACACTACTTTGCGTACGTGCTAAGCGATCATGATGGGAAGTGGAAATGCTTTAATGACCATCAGTGCAAAGACATTGACGAGAAAGAGGTGGTGTCCTCGATGGCGTACATATTATTTTATCGCCGGCGGGACACCACCCACATGTCGATTGAACATCTTTTTCCACCTCTATCAGTGGATACAACTGGAAATGGAGCGATCACTGACAACGTGTCTGATGAAAATAAAAAGACACAGGTGGAGGAGCTGTTGGAGCAATCGCTGGCTGCTTCAGGTAACGGGAGTAATTGCATTATTAGCTGATACAACATGATGAAATATTGGCAAACGACTTGCGCCTGTATCAAATAAAAAAGTGTTGAGATGTGGCTGGTGCGATTCTGTGCACTCAATGGTTAATGCCTTGTCGCGCTCCCGCATCAAGATGTCTATAGAAAGACGCCTTCACCGTATTCCGTCAGTCGCGAACAGACTGTTTTTCTTACAGCTTCTGACACCTCGTCTCGTCCCAAGCTCGTCAGAGTCTCTCCGCTTTGTCCCGTTTGCCCACTATCCGTTTTGCTATGGAGTATGTCTCTTCCTCTGACAATCCAAACAACTATGATTGTTTACCTCCTGAGGTTTTGCAACGAGATCATGAAACGAAACCGTCTCGCGCTTTAGCAGAGGTACAAGGTGACAGCGTCTGGGTGTCGAGGGGGGAAGAAAGTGATAATGCTGGAACTGAAAGCAGCCAACGCTCGCGCAAAAAGCAAAGGGTCGAGACAAACGAGTATGGAGCGCTAATCGATAAGTTACGACAGGAAGTTGCCGAGGTAAAGGAACGGCTGAGTTTGACGAGCAGCAGTCATTCTAAAAATGCGGCTTACGAGCTCGGAAAAAAATGCATTGAGGCGAAACAAACCGCATCTAATATGAAGAGGAAGCTGGCGGAACATTCCCACTGGTTACAGCGAGTTAGCAGCTTAATGGAAACAGCACCACTTCTTGATTTTGCGCCTGATGCGTATGGTGAACAGTCTGAACAGGCGCCAAAAGATTCTAACTTGCAACAAAGTCTGGAGGTCCTTGACGAGTGGAGAAAAGATGCGACAAGTAAGCCGCGCCCTCGCTTTCTCTTGAATGAGCGCCTGCATGCTGCGCTTAATGTTACCCAAGACAACGCATCACGACTGTTGCTTGATGCAACAAACAATTTGCAATCTTTTCAGTTATCATTGGAATTCGAGTCGCATGGATGGAAAATTGCAACGGGAGTTCTCATGACCGACAACATTAGCTTTAGTTGCCATCGTGTGCTTCCTTCTGGCATGAATAGTAAGGCTAAAGATGTCGCTATGGCATTTTGGAACTTTGTTGAGCACGATGAAATTTTCCGAACGTTCGTGCCACTTGTACAAGACTCGATTATCACTCATCAGGAGACGGATTGCTCGCTGTCATGTCGAGTATTACAACTCTCACCAGAGATGAATCAGCAGGCAGTGGCAACTGTTGAGTCGATCAGTTCGACCCTAGACAAGAATGGACAAGAGACCTCGTGGCAGATCTCCATGGAAGCAGTGCATGATCACTACCTATGCACTTTCGTGGCAGACGCAGTCGGCGATTTGGTCATACCGAAGACAGCCCCATCTGTCAAGCTTGACCTCGGACTTCAAATGAGCAAACTTAACATGCACAATAAGGTTATTATAGGTGCACGGGTGACTACAACGGAAGAGGGTGTCGACATTTTGATTGTCAGCGCGGCGCGGTTTGACCTCCCATGCTATCGAGATCCAGCATTTGATTTGCTCCAGCACTTAGTGTCACACTTGCCTGTGTACGAAGATCTACATTTAACACCGCTCAACAGTAATCAAGCGCCTGACGTACTTACGTAAGTCAGTCCATGGTATATGTGTTGTTTGTCTTTTATTGCCTCATTTGCTTTCTAGCTTGTTCTTACTCAACATGGTTGTATGCACATCTAATCCGTCTCCGACCTGCATTTCACTTTTCGGATTCTCAACTCAGAAGTTTCTTCGGAGACCTCTTCTTCGTCTTCCAAAAATACAGCAGGGGCACTGAAAGTTGTTGGAGAAAGAAGAGGTGCAATCATTGTCTTCGTTAATTCGGCCAATCTTTGTGAGAGCCACGCCAAAAGAACATGCATGATGTCATGATGAAACATACTCAAGTCGACAAGTTCTTTGGCAGTGATCTCGAAAAGCGTACATCGGCCAACCGCTGTATATATGCCCTGTGCAGTTACGGTGGGTACAAATGCCTAGACGAACAACATCGAACAACGTAAAGTTAATGTGATACCAATACTTACATGGTATCGGCAAGTACACAGGTTACCTCTTCTCCAAAACAGTCGCCATCATGGAGCTTAATCGAAGTTGGTGCTGGGACTGCATTTGGTTCACTTTGGAAATTCGTAATCTCCATTGTACCATTGATGATAACATACACACACTCCACCTTCGTGCCACTAGAATAGAGCACGTCGCTGTGATCAAGTACCACAACTCGAGATATCTGAGCCACCAGCGACACCTTGTCGTCATCGAGGTTTCTCATCAAGTGAGATGCTTTCAAGTGAATGGACTTCTCGAATGTTGTATAGTCGGCAGGATCTGAGAGCGCGTGCAGCCCTTTCGACGCTAGCGTCCCGGAGCTCGAACTCCGTCCCATTGGTTGTATGTTGCTCAAACTGTGACGTCTGCCGCTCATCCCTGGCAACGATAATGGTATCACACGATGGGTACTTCGTGATCGGCCTACGTTGTAGAGGAATGATTTTGCCGCGCGATCAACTGAAAGCGCCGCCTTGATGTTGCTCGTCAGAAACTCCGTTATCTGGATCATTGGGTCTATGTTGCTGTACAATCGCGCGGCCTTCGCGGTCAATGAAGCCCTTTGATCGCGACGAGGAAGACTTCCAGATTGAGCAATGGAGCGAAGTGGCTTGAAGAAAATCAAAACAACATCAGTAACAACATTGCTATACAGCTATCGTCAATCCGCACCTCATAATATAGCAGTCGAAGAGAAGATGCCACCGCATTCAGTACACCTCTGGACACTTGCGGTGTTTCCTTTATCAAGGCGTCGAGATGTCCACGCGATATACTGAGCAGGATGCAGTCTTCCAGCGCAGTTGCAGAGGAGATGTGAGTTCCAGCATGAAGAGAGTGCTGCAATATAGCAGCTTGTCCAACACATGTACCAAAACCTAGCTCTGCTAGAATCCTTTGCTTCTTGTGAAGTTGGACAGTACCTGCAGCAACGACATACATAGCTGAAGCTGCATCGACCACAAACAAGAATTATATAAGCACACTCCTAATGACAAGGTGAGAATGCACACTCCTTTACCGATATCGCCTTCGATCGCAAATGTTTCTCCGAATTTCACAGTAATCGGAACAAAATGGTGTGAAATCGCTCGCAGAATATTCGTTGCACACACGTTCTCGAACAGCGACGATACGCGAAGGCAATTTGCAATCTGCAATGAAGATGAATTGTCAGCAGGGACAAGTTATCCTCATCATTACAGGGCTTTCCATGTACCGCAATTCGGGAAAGCAGTGGGGACTCGCAATCTTCCAGAACGGTGACAGACTTATACGGGAGAACTTCGGGACGGCTAGAAAGGTTTAGCAAGCAGAATTTAGTATCAAAGCACTCGATTAGCAAAACATGCTGTGACGCAACTACTCATACCAGTGGTAGGTTTCAATCAACAGCTCCTTGGTTAGCTCGTGGTTGAGTAAACTCGGTATGATTTCATCCTCAAACATTAATTTCGTTGCATCGTTAAGGTGTTCAGCATGATCCGCAGCGATATGAAGGAAATAATGAAGAGCAAGAGCTGACAGCTCTAGTTCCGTTTCCTGGTGCTTCATGACATCCAGTAAAATGTCGACTCCGTCTTTTCCATCGAATAACTCGACAACGTTCTCTGTCATCTGAAACAAAACACCATATCAGCATTATTTACGAGTAAAAGCGTAAACGTCTATGAAAAACCTTTGATGCTGCTTTCGTTGTAGACAGTTTTGGGAATAGCAGCGGCAGCACCAGTCCTTTGTAGGACGAAGGAAGCAAATTCTCCAGCACCTCCTACACAAACCAATGTGTTAAGCAAGTACATGATGTCAACTCGCATAACAATACCTGAATTGCGGAATGCACTTGCACCAGATCAGATTTCAAACCCTCCAGAATCACCGCAACATCAAACTCCTCCGGGAATCCTGTCGAAAGCAGTTTAAGCAGCAGCCGAAGCGTGTCCTTCAGGCTATGTTCCACATGCTGTAGCAGCAGAGGGGACGTTTCCTCAATGTTTGTAACTGTGCGCGGGCAAATCTGGAAGAAGAGTTCGAGAACATGACGCATTTCGTGCGCCTCACGGAGCTTGATACTAAGCGCGTGGTGAATTGGATCCATCAAGTGTGAAAACGAATTCATCGTCTTTTCGTCTGTCGATCTAATCTACACAATTCAAACACATTCACAGCATGATCATTACACGCCAAAGTTACTAAGAACAGCAGCCATTTTGCTTACTAGCGATAGCAGTGCATCCACAACCAGCTCTTCCATGATCACATCTTTCCCAAAGAGATGATGTAACACGTCCGTGTTGCATACTTCGTCTTCCGATGATTTTGATGCCACCAGTAACGTATCAACCAAGTGCAACAGGAAATCCAGTTTGTCTTCGAACGGAAAATCACCAACGTCGAGCACTTTGAGCACACCTGTCAGTCCATCTCTCTTGTTATGGATCTGGTCTGAAGCTAACGCATAATTGTTGATGGTGTGGGTAGTATGATGGAGAATCTCTTCCGTGTATTGGCAAAGCGGTCTCCACAGGGCAGCCGGCTCAAACCTTTTCAACGCTGCTACAATATGAGAGCGTATCATTGAATTTGAAAGGTGCTTCATTAGTGCCGGAATAAGCATTCTGGAGTGACGAGAGCTGTTTGAACAACACTCAACGGCTGCTTGGACAATTTGCGTCGACGAATGGTGAAGTAAGTACACCAAAAAACCATCACCCAGCAGCTCTGGGAGCTCTTTGCCGACAATCTTCAAGCCGACCACTCGTGCCTCCAGAACCTAGCAACATGAGCATAATTGTAAGCTATCACGACGCGAAATCATCAGTCAAAGTGAGACCCACCTTTTCTTCGTGAAGCAATCGCTGAAGAATAACATTTGCTTCTTCATCCATCCAGTCCGATAGACGCAGTAACGCCACCGCAGAACACACGACGACATATTTGTCCTCGTTGCCACTACAAAGTAGCTTATGAAGCACCTCTGAGCACTGACCCACGTTCATATCGAACTTTTCGTAGCCGCATGCCAAAATCGCCTTAAGTCGTAGTTGGGGTGGCACCGCAACAGATTTGTCCTGTACGAGCATCATAAGGTCCATCGTATTGAAAATGCCGGTAGGTAATGTGCTTGCGTCTGGGAGTAAATATGATTCTTGTGCATGGAGCACGAATTCTCGCTTTGCTGCCGTATGAAGATTCAACAGGCGCAGTTTCGTATGCATCGGTGTCAGCGGTAGCCCGTCTTGATTTTTCTTGTAAAACAGCGCTCGAAGTTCCTGCGGGAAAGAATGAAAAAATCAACACAATACGCACCATAAAAGCCCCATTGCGACTTACCTGAGAAAAAAAGCCAATATGAACGTGGGATAACGAGCTCAAAGCAAAGTTGGCTTGGTTTTGCGCTCCGTTCACCAACGTTTCCTTCACTAGCCGAATCTGCGTCCATTGCAAGCGTACGGCAATTCAGTATAGCACCCATAATAGTTTAGCGCTTCAGGTTGTACCTGGTCCGGTGTAAAGTCAACCAGAGGCGATGTCAAATTTAGATATCCCTGTCGTAACGATGCGTAGAACTCTGAGGCATACGACTTCCTGGCTGCCAGTGCGTCAATGACCCACGCTGTAGACGCTGCAATCATTATCACGCTATAACGCACAAAAAAGCGGTGAATCACTCTCGTACTGCCAACAACATGACTTTTTCTACAAAACGTCTCACCTTGAAAAGGACGCCCCTATACACTGGACTACTAAACGCGCTGTCAGAAACATTGAGAGCACCGCTCCAAAAATCCGAGACACCGAACGGAACGGGCCACACACAAAGTTCTGGAAACGGCCTCGCTCATTCTCATTAAAAGGCAGCCACAACAATTGTCTTGCTGGATTAAAAATTGCCTGTGATACTGCGTTATAAAATGCTCGCGTGACAATCAACGTATAGACAGACTATTCCCATCAACATGATACACATCAGTATTTCCATTTCAGTCAGTAATAAAACTCTGCATAAAAATTCAGCTACTTACACTCGACATGTAGGTCGAAGTTCCAAACAAGAAAATGGCCACTGGAAGCATCGCGATGCCATACATGACTCCAAAATGTGAGAAAAGGGGTCCCGAGAAAAGTTGCAGTGGGATCATCAAAAAACTTTGTAATCCATTAATCATTGACAATGAGACCTGCGCTTCTTTCTCTGGTTGCAAAGAAACCACCGACAGCGTCGTATTATCCACAAGCACTCGCATTACCGTTGCCAATATGTCGAAAAAGCAAATATGTTTCAGGTACGTTCTAGCCTGAATTTCTCTGATAATAGTCATCAATGACAAGGAATCTGCAGTATTTTTACATTGATCCTGGCTTCTCTGCTTTCTTGTTATTGAGTCTGGACTAATTGAGCTTGTCGGTACAAAATATTCGGTCGATAGCAGTAAAATTCCAGCCATGAAAAATAACATTCCAGCCGAAATGACTAAATTATACTCAGTCGGGACTTGTCGAATTTGAAGAATTGGTAAAATTACAAAACTTGCCAATAAACTGCCAAAAGTTGATCCAAACGTAATAATCCCAAAAAACTTTTTTGAGTCCGAGACATTAAAGGCTTTCGCACATAAATCCCAAAATTGTTGGGTCAGCCATTGGGTCGATACTTCAAGCCACAAATAGAGTAGGACCGATGTCAAACGAGCCAAGAAGGGCATTGCAAGAGAGAAGAGGGTTAGGACTAACAGCACCGACCCAAAAACCAAGGGGCTAATTGCGTATATAACGCCAAGACAAACAGAACGGGCCATGAATTTGTCCATCAGCTGCGTCGCTATGGTCAGTGCGTAGGCCGTCGTCAGGGACAGCGTCAAAGTGAGCATTGCCACGTTCGAGGCTGCATATGATCTTAAAAAAATAGCGTCACGTGATATAGTCCCTAGCACTCCAGCACAGCATTGTAGCGTCCAGAGCGCACAAAAGAAACCTACTCGTTGCAAAACCTCCATCTCCATAGCGACAGAGGAGCTTATTAAATGTCGCGCAAGGCGTAATAATTTGTCTTGAGACGTTAAAAAATGAAAAGTGTACTGTTTTAATGAGGATATTAGGCATTTGTCAGAGAGAGAGAGAGATTACAATCATGTTATATTTTGCTGCCATGCGAAGAACAGTCTTAAGACATGTATAAGGACCATACTCGTTTGCTGTGTTGTAGTGTTCCAAACGTTTATAGCTACAAAGCTCATTTGTACGCTAATGCTCAGTTGTACGCAAATAGAAAATCAAGTAGCGCAAATGTAGATGATAGACACGCTTAGCTTCGCATCTGCCGTCGTGGTAGAATGTAACAACAAATAAAAGAGGTTGCCACTGATGGACAGGATACCCAGTTGTGTGGACAGCTAGCAATATTGTCAGAAAAGATTGTGTACAGAGGAGTAGCAGTGATTCTTTCTGCCAACGTCCGTTATGAGAGCGCGACGAGTTGCTCATTGAAAAAGCGGTATGAATGTGGACGCACGATTGATTATTATCCAAACAGGGCCGGTCTTTAACGAGTCAAGGATGTTGTCGAAACATTGTTCGTGATATTGTGACAGTTGTGTATGTGTTCAATCTAGACTCATCGAGTTCTCTGGAGAAATCAACCTATCGACGTTACGTAACGGATTTGGACAGTGCTTTCAGTGGCGAATCTAGCGACATTGGGCTCGTAATAATTATTATCGTAGTGCTATTGATTACTCCTCCTAATGCCTGTGTTTAGAGAAAAGTAAGTTATTTGCTTGGACACGGCGGGACGTCCGTCTATCAAAGTAGGTGAATGCACGATCATCTTCTCAGTAGCAAAAAGTCGTAATCTCGGTCGTAACAAACGCAACCTTGAAGTCTATAGACTTTATCATGTACGTCCGATACGCTCGAATTGAATTCGTACAAACTTTAAGCGGGTCTTTATTTGACGGTGCTGACACTTTCGTTCCATGGGCTACATGTTGAAAATACCTTGATGCACAGAACCATATTGATGTAGAAATTCTGTCATGTAGACTGTAACGTGTCAACATCATCATGGAAGGCGAAAAGGAAGTCGTCGTCTACCTACTGCTTCATCAACATCAAAATGACGGACCAACAGGTGTTTTACTAGACTAGCAAGGGTCAAACTCGTTTATTTCACGATATGTTACGCTAGCTGAATGCAGCAGGGGTGTATTCTCGTCAAACATAGTTCTCGATAAGACTATTCTAATCCTATCCCAGCCACGTTATCAAAAGATAAACCACGGAGAAACATTCGTACATCAATGCAGCTTCAACCATCGCATCAACCACCGCATCAACCATCGCATCAACCCTCAAACCATACCTCCAGGCTCTCGTATATTATCTACTTAGCCGAAAAAAGTAGCAAATGCAGCAACGATGCCAGCTAGCAAAATAGACCGAGTCATAATCGACGAGGCCAGATTGGTGCTACCATTGTCAGCATTCCCCGTTCCCGATGTAGTACCTCCTGACTCATCTGTGCCTTTCACAAAAGCACTGGCCGTTTGGGCAGGACATTTGAACTGCTGAACAGTGGATGGACAAGTCAAACTAGCGACACTATCCGCCTCCCACGTGACATCGGCGAGCGCAGGAAATTTGTCAGGACACGAAGGCAGTTTGGTTCGCTTCGGGGTAAAATCGTCCATTTTCGTTTCACCTGACAAATCAGTTGAGTTGAACTGTTTTGCCAAATTGTAAAAGTTGGGCATCGGGTTAAAGACGCACGGAATGGTATCATGATCACAGTCTTTCGGAGAAAAGTAACCCGTTCCGTAATTTTGAGGACCATACTTCTTAAACGGATAGGGCGATTTATCTTCCGCATTCACTTTCTCCGTTGAGTACTCAAAGGCAAATCCACCTGCAAACACGTCACGGAACGTCGAGTCGAAAAGCCATCCAGCCTGGAGCCACGTACGTTGGGCTTCGTATCCGTCGACAGTCGGGAAGCTCGGATTCACACAGCCAAATTCCGTGAGCAACACAGGGATAGTCAGATCATACGACGAAAAGTCCTTTAAGAGTTTCAAAAAGCCACCTGAAGACTCCACTTTCGTAATTGTTGAATCACAATACTGATACGTATTAAGTCCATACCATTGAGCGTTTTCATACTCGTCACTCGGGTCGGTTCTGCAATTGTAGTACATGGAATTCAACTTACGGTTGTTAGTTTTCGTGTCTGGGTCGGCCAAGACCGCACCTACCAAGATATCACGAAAGGTCGAGCATTTTCCAAGAAAGGCTCTCATGTCCCGAAGAAATTTCTTCTGACAAGGAGCGTTGGTCCACGCATTGTCAACAATGTTGTTTACTTCATTACCCACACTAAAAGCGAGGACATTGTCGTATTGCGCAAACTCCGAGATGATCTGTTCACCACGACTTTTCAGGATGCTAGAGTAGCATGCTGGGTACTTTTCCTTAGTGATCGAGCAGTTTTTACAACTAGCGCCAAGGTCTACTAATGCATACATGCCTTTGGCACGTAATGCACACATGAAGAGATCGTGGGACTGGGAAGGGTCTACGGCGTAAATCCGAACGACATTAGCACCGCTTTCCGCAAGGTATTCAATGTCAGGGCCCCAGATATGCTCGAATTTATCCGTAAAAAAGTCAACATTGTTTTCGTTGAGTTCTCCCGCGTTGGGGCGTGGGTAGTAGTCGATTCCCTTTACGGCAAAGGCGTCACCCGTTGTGGCGTCAAACATCTTGTATCCCTTTGCGGTGATGGGGTTCGTGTAGCTCTGTACCATTGGCAACATGGCGGCAATTGCCAGTGCGATGGTGGCAGCATGTTGCATGGTGAAAAGATAAGAGAACTCGCCTTTGTAGTAGAGCGTAGTAGATTGAGGAATGAGCATTGTTTAGGGTCATCTCGCTCAATGCATAGCGTTTTATATATTTTGGCAATCCAGCAGGTACATCTGCCAAGATCACTTGTGTGATGGTGACAGACTGGTCGGTTCAAAATGATTGGGGATTGATAGGCATCAGATATTGCTGGGAACATGTTACACTTGAATAAGTATACGTAATTGTAATTAAAGGTACGATCCAAGAATTATCTTCGAATATTGACGTTGAGAACAAGCACCACCCCGATCTGTTTTTGTTCGTGCTTCCTGCCACATCATTCTTTTATCACCCAACATGAGCTCCCGCGCTCCCGCCTATCAATGCCTTTACGTATATTGACGGTTTTTTACACTTGCAACTCTAGGCACTCACGTTCACATCCACGAATACCCCCGTCACCATCATTTTTCTGTGCCCCTCACTTCGCCGTTCCATGTAAGAAGCATGAGTAATCATTAGGCGGAAAGTTTCACTGAGTTTAAGAGCAAGGATATTGGCGCCCTGTCCATTACAAAAGATAAGACGGCTCTGAAAGACTTGTATTGCTAAGTAAATCTTTTCAGCTCGCCATTTAGTATACTTTCCAGCATATTATGCGGGTCAAGTTGCCCCACCAGATAAGTATGCAGGCTGCCACATCAGTCGATGAGCTTCTTCACATGTCTCAGATGTCCCTAATATTTGCAGCATGTAGTGGTAAAGGCGAAACGTGGTAAGCTTGTGAAAGAAACTCACTCAACACCTTTCTTTACCGCATTCAGACTGAATACTACGATGACATTTTAACGAAATTTGTTAGACACCTGATCAAGGTCCATTAGCTTTTTTTAGTACGGGTCTTCAAGCCAGTGCTCCAAGTTAGCAAACTTAGGGCGAAGCTAGAACAATCTTGATAAATGAAGATTTTTCATGACCATCTAATTGTTGCCTCACCAGCTGACCTAAATCATATAGTCTCTACAACAGCATTATCCCCGCAATTACGCCGAAAATTGCAATCTTGTCGCTTCCACATGTCGTATGTCGTCCGGCTCAGCTTACGCTGCGGAACGGGCCGGAGGTATTGAACACGTACACCTGGACATTGCTGAACCAGGGGGTCACACACGGGCGCCAGAAAGCACACGCCGGCGGCAACCACGCCCTTATCGTCCTCCATCAAGCCAACGACGGACTCCATTGGATCATTGATCACATGACCGATGTGCCAGAAGCTGATCAACAGGAGCTGGTGGATCTACAACAGAAAACACGCAACACGGCGCTTGTATTCACAGCGCATCCGCTGCTACATGGGTTTCCATGGAGTCTCCCACCTTCCATCAACAACATGCACGCATTCAAGGCGCTTCAACGCCAACCATTCCATCGCGCCAAACGAAAGCTTCATCCAGCACTTACGGCGGTAATTACCAGGCTACATCAACGAGACGGCTCACAGGACGGTAACCACTTCCCGATGTCGCAGTCACCGGCACAACTCTGGGATCACGGACACACTCTCACGGAATACCAGGTCTGGGTATGCTACAGAGTAGCTACTCATCAGTTGAACCTGTACTTTCCGGGACGCGACATGGACTCGACGTGCAAGAGGCATCTGGCCTGCATCGGGCAACACGAAGGAATCCTGCATATCCTCTGGGACTGTGTCGGAGCATCCAAGTCTTGGGCATACATCATCACGCAGTGGACGCGATCGGAGGTATCATCCGCCCAAATGGAGTTGTACAAACAAGCAGCGTTATCGCGCGCAGCACCGGAGCTACCTCCGAGAGTGCGGGCAGAGATTGAGCATATGTTCCCAGACAAAACTGACATCGTTGGACGGGCCTGGAAAAGAATATGGTGGATAGCGTGCTCCGTATGCGTGACCATGCTCTGGATTCAGCGAAACAGAAGTATTCATAAGCAGGAAAGAAAGTGCGTCCACGGAGCAAGAGGTAGCGGAAGTCAAACAAGTCCTTCTTCGCCAACTCCGAGCGGTCGCTATCAGGGAACAACGAAGGGATAAAGATGTGAGCAAAGGCGTCTACCTTCGCCTAGCAACGGAAATGTTCCAAGACACCATCAACATCCGGCAGCCGGTACTGCATAGCCCACGTAACCGCCAGGAGACAACTCCGGGGGTACTGGAATGGCTGAGGACTTTTCAGAAATCTTGTAAACCATAAACGGTATATAGACAGTCTGTTTCCACCACCACATGTCGTATGTCGTGTCACAGAAAGCTGGCTCCAAGCTACGTGCAGAAATAGAGCATATATTTTTTAAAATTTGAAGTACTCTTTCTCCAATTTTTCTCATACGCAAGAATTTTCTGCCACTAGAACAGTTGGATAGCATAGCTTGTACAAGGACAGAGCGGAGATCCATAATCTCCGTCTTGCAAATATAATGTTCCCTGTACTTGTCTTTTTTTATTTACTGTTTTGATTGCGTGACACTTGGATACCCTACCTAGTCGAGCTCTAAACTAAAAGTGTAAGGCATAGCTAAGACATAGGAGTTTGTAGTGTAAAAATATTGAGCATTTAATGTCCTTTTCAGTGTACGTGCCATTTTTTTTGCTCCGTACATTTAGAATCCAGAGGAGTGTACCCACTTCCTTTGTGCAAGATACTACAATTTAGACCTCCTTTTCAGGTTCATGATTCATAATAGCTACATTAATCTGATTAATGAATTATGAATCTAAATCACGCGATGATTGTAATTTTCGATACATGAATAAAGCTTTTTAACATCGTATTTGGACTCTTAACAAATACAAATGATGTATTCATAACTTGTTAAGAACCATATCATTGGATTTTTAAACCTGAAGAAAGCCATATTTCCAGGCACATCAATGCCTCAGTTTATCAAGCGGATAATAAGCTCCTATCCCACCTCAAAATTCTTGTGAAAGGGGTACTGATGGCAGGAATGGCCAAGATGCTCCTGGCATCATTGTAAGAGTAATATCTGGAGCAAGTTCGTTCATCCCAATTCGTTACTTTCTATAAATTCACTGAATCAGTTGACGAGCTGTATATTTGATTCATGATTCATGAATTAGCCTTGGAAAAACAAATCTACATCATGTATATCATGTAAAATTATTGAATAAAGGGTCTACTACAGATCTCCTTCTGTGATATTCGGGTATGGTGGCTGCTGCGATCTAGTCGCTTGACGGCAGGTAGGAGAAGGACGCGCTTGCGGCGCGGCGGAACCTTGCTTCGCCCCTGGGTGGCCGGTGTCTCCATACATTTGAGGGTAGACCGCGATGTCTTAAATCGTCATCTGGCTGTCCCTGGACCTTGCTTGTGTGTGAGTCGTCAGAGGTAGGTATTCCTTTGATGGCGGGGTACCGACGAGGGTCGACAGGCGCTTGTTATTTTTTTAACGTCGTTGTGATTCTGTCAAATCCCAGAAAAAACAGGTCATCCGAATCGAACCGTTCGGCGACCATGTTCGCTATTTGAAGAAGGGTGACCAGCGCAGTGATCGCGTCTGTGACGGTCTGCAGCCGTGGTAGGGTCGACATCGGTCCAGTAAGCTATCCCATCAGCCGGATCTCGAGGGTCTTCGCGACGGGATCGCTCTCCAGGAATGCGTTCAGCTTGCGTTGGTGATAGGCCTTTGAAACTTAGGCGTCCGACCATGATGCCAGTCCTGACTTCTCAGGGCCTACCAACTTGGTATTTCCTGGTGCCTTTATCCGGAACTTTGTCGGCTTGGACTCCGCGATCTTGTTTTTTTGTTTTTTTCGAGGACCTTAGCCTCTCGGTTTTCACCGTCGGCTAATGGTCCTCTGTATAATGATAGGTATCATGACCCAAGGTGTCCTCTACGAGGACATAGGGAGGGTATTTCGGTTTCTCTACAACAAGTTCAACCTCTACCATGTTGACCGGGCCCCTCCCAAGGTCCGGTCAGTCCTTCGATCCTTTGTTTTTTTTTCTTGAGTCACTGGAGATCGGCCTTCAGCGGCTCTTCGGTCTCGTGTTCCTGCTTGACTTTAACCTCTTTATCTTCTTGGGACTCGCGGTGAAATCCCAGATATTCCGAAAATCCGGGCACGCGCACCATTGTGGTGAAGTGGGTTCTCAAAATTGTATGATGAGACCCCAAACCATTCACTTGTCGGACTGCCGACTGTCGGAGGGGGTACCCCGATGCCGCGTATGAACCTTCTCTCACCTTTTGTACCCGCCGGCTGGCGGGTTGAACTCTTCCAAATACTTGGGTGAAGTTGACCACGCAACCGTCTTTAACGGGGGGGGGGGGCAAAATGTATCCCTTCCCGGAACAGGTTGGTAGCTTAGAGCAAGTTCTTTTGGGCGACGGAGTCGTGCCACGTAGATCGCAAATTGAGTAGTATTTATCATAGTCCTATCCTTTTAAATCCTTTACTCTATCCTTCCCTAAAGCTCTGATTCCTTGCGTCGACTGGTCTGATCCTTGTGTTAACTGGTCAGGAGTGGCTGAACCCCGAGGGAACCGGGTCGACCGAAGAGGAACCGGGTCTACCGACGAGGGGCCGAGGTCGACCTAAGAGGGACCCAGGTCTACCGATGAGGGACCAAGTCGACCAATGAGGGACCGGATCCACCAATGAGGGACCGGTCCTTCCAAAGGGGACCATGGTCGACTCCCTTCAATACCAGTTTACCGGTACCCTTATACTGATTTCTTTTTTGTGGGTCCTGCAAATTGTTCTCCGCCAACGGTCGCTTCCCCTCGAGGCCCCTGTCTCTCTGGTCTCTTCTCCCGATACACGGTCTTTTATACTCCGTATCCAACTGGCTTCTGGGGTCTTCATATCTCAAACAAGCACTTCACCACAAAGCTATGTACGCGGGCAAGAGTATACAACTCTATATAAAGATATAGCGGTAACCGGCTTACAATGGTCAGGAGTGACTGCTCACCAACATGGTAATGCGAACCACTGAGT